GAAGGACCCTCCTCAAAATGGCAACTAAATAAGCTAAGTTGGTAAGCAACTTGAAGTTTTCCTTTTTTTTGTATCTAATTAAAAGCAGTTACTAGGAAGTTAGTATAGGTATTAGTTCTTATATTAAGTTAGTTAGTTTAAAAGTTAGAAGTACTTAATAAATATCTTTAATCCTCTTATACACCCTTCAACCAGAACTTCTTCATTTGCTAACTTCTTGCCACACTTTCACTTTCACATCAAACTATCTGTCTGGTCCAGTGGTGTCGATTCCCTTATGTGGCTGCCACACAACATGTATAAAATGATGGATTGATAGCTGCATTGGATGTGTCAAAGTTGCGTGTGCAGCTTCAATTTGCTGATAAACTTTGAAATGACATTCAGCTACATCTACTGCCTTGTCCTGCCTTGTCCTCAATACGACCCCTGGCCTGGACACATCAAACTAATTTGCAACGACAATGGGGCACAATTTGCATTGCTCGTCGTTGTGACCTGGCAAATGGCAATTTAATAAGCCAAGCAACCAAGCCACACACGCATTCAGAGAGAGAGAGAGGAGAGGAGAGGAGGGGGTGCGAGAACCCTTGGTACAAAAAGGGATAATAGAGGAGCTAAAGCTGGAACTGGGGGCCAAGCAGGACGAAGATGGAGATTCTGCCTGCTAACAAAGTTACAGTAATAATATGCAATAATGACGGAGATGAGAATGAAGCGGGCTCAGGAGGTGGACCAGGACCAAAACGAAAACCAGAACCAAAAGGACCGTTTGATTTCCGCTTTAAGCGGAAGTCTCATTTGATCCCTCAACCTCCCCCTCGCTTTTTTCTCTCAGTGTGGGCACTCGCCCACATGCATGTGTAATTTTTACAAATTGTTACAACGAGCCCCAAGCCAAGGCAAGGCAAATGGGGCCAGTTGATTGTATTTAAAGTTTCTTTTCTTTCTCCGCCAGATAATATGGCAAAATGGGGGCGAAAAGGCAAAAAAAGGAAACGGAGACTAGACCAAGTTACCAACTTTGGAATGCCCTTCTGCTTCTTACCCCCTACCACCCTGTCGTGGAACGTGATATGCCTTTCCTACAGGAAAATATATATTCAAAGATGAGCTAAGTAAAATGTTAGAACATATTCAAAGATTTCCCCCCTTAATGCTTAGTCAAGGAGTATTAAAAAGCTAAGTAAGTTATGGCTAAAGAAGTTGAAAATGTTAGAAATTAGTCTGGAAGATTGAGGATTTAACTTATTAAGTTTAAGGATATTTTTCCTAAATCAAAAAGAAAAACTCTTTCCTTTTATAGCTTCTCCTAGAATCTATCTTAACTATCCCCATAAACCTTTCTCTTTTAGCTTGAGGCAATCTATTGAGCGGGTTAAAGCAATTCCAATCCTTATACCTAGACCATTTCTAGCCCAAGAATCCCAGAACCTCCTACGTCTTTTCGCCTTCGATAATGTTTACTTTAGACATTTCTTTTGCTCAGTGACTTGAATTTTCAGCTTAGCTCCCCTTCAGCACCCCCTTCATAATTTCGTTTTCGTTTTGCAGGCGCGCATATCCGGCCAAGTTCTCTCCAAAGTTGGTAATACCCAAAAGCAAAAGGAGAAGAAAGCTAGAGCTGGAGGCGGATTAGGAGAGACGAGACGAGCCGCGTGCCAAAGTCAACGCCGGCAACCGGATATCCGCAACGAGGGCAGCACTACGCGATGAGCGGGAGATGAGAAGCAACAAGAAGAACAGGAATAGTAAACATAAATAAACTGTAGCCACAGAGAGGGCCAAATAGAAGGGGAAATCAGCCAGGCAAGACGAAACAAAAGGCGTGTTCTTTGCATACACAACGATTTAAGGCTACTTCAAGGGGCAACAGCAACAAGAATAACTTTCTCTCATGCCAATCACGAGTCTCATGGTTTACTCAAAGGACCAATGCTGCATAAAGAAACAAACTTAATATATATATATATATATATATATATCATGTAACAAGTCGAACTAGAAAACTGCAGCAAGACCATGTCAAAAATGTCCCCAGAGATTCCTCAACTTGTTAGCCAAGTGGCTGGCCACTTTAACTTGTCATTACTTTAAAGTTAAGGGTAAGCAAATTAGTTATTTTAAGCACAACTAATAAATCATTTTAACTATTTTTTTTTGCAATAAAATCCATCAATAAATTAGTATTAAAATAGCCACAAATTAAATATATTTGCAGATTAAAAAACCAATAATTCGCAGCTCATTGGTTTAGAAACACAACCCAGGCCGTGTCATGAGGCATAAATCAACTTGAAAGAAGCAAACTTAACCAAGGATATATCTATATGACAGCTTAAAACTAGAAGGAGGAGGACCTCTTCTATACCCAACCATAATCAGCGACATCAGGCGACAGGACCACCAATTTGATGTAGGTAAAGGGATTTCTGTATTTCTGTTTTTTTTTTTTTTATTATTTTTATTATTATTTTCCATACTGATTTGTTTGGGGACAACTTAAAAAATCAATTTGCCGCCGCACAAAGGGAAGCCGCCGCCGTCGTCGACGCCGCTGCTGTTGCCTTTGCCAGGTAAAAACCAGACACAAGGGGCATGCTGCTGCTGCGTGCACAAATATGGAAAATTTCAATTTGTTTTGTGTGGGTAAAAAACTTTCTGACACTTTTCCAGGCCAAACAAACAGACAAACTTTTCGCTGGCCAGTTATGAAATCGCTTATTACCCGCACCTGAAATCGGAACAGCCACCGACCACCACCCATCGGCAAAGTAAAGAACAAACTGGATCCCAAAAAAAAAAAACAGCAACCCGAATCTGAACTCATCTGAACCAATGGCCGGCGGAGCAATTCATTTTAGTGTTTGACTTTTAGCTCTTAGCTGGTAAGGTTGGGCAGAGGAAGGCTTGGAAAACTATGGAAAACTTTTGCTTATTAAACGGAGAAACGATCTCTGGAATGGAGAATTTGTGAAGCTGTTTGCCAAATTGTGAATTGCCAATCAGAGTCCACATGGAATTGTTTATACACTTACGGGAGGGACTCCCTCCTATGTGTCGCCATAATAGAATGCTAAAATATTCATAAATTGCCAAGGCATAGGGCGAGCAGGGCGGAGCAAGGGGGGAGTGTGTCATTGGAGACAGACAAACAGTCGATCCCCTTTGAGATAATAAGCCCCAGTTCGTTGAGGAGTTACCAGGACAGAAGCAAAAGTTGCCTTGGAGAGGAGCCATCAAATTATACGCAAATATTGAATTAATGAAATTATTGACAGGCGACTGGTTGGGCCTACATATAGTCAGTCAGTCATATACATATATATATTTGAAAAGCAAAGGGAACATGCTCTCTCTCTCTCTGGAGAATTACCCAGAACGGTGCTCTACTTGTTGCCTAACCATTCGCAGTGACAGGTTTTGTGGTCAGTGAATTGCCAAATAAATTACACAAAATTGCCGGCAAAAGGTTCAATCAACTCGGGAATGTGTGTCCCAGTTTCGTGGGTGGGTTAAAGGGTATGGTTGGTAGACATTTGTAGAAATGATCCAATAAATGGAATGAATTTACACCAATAAATAAGCATAATAATAGTTATTGATGACGTATAGGAAATGAGAACTAAATATAGATTAGATCAGGAGTTAAGGAGTTCTATAGGCTTATAGGTGTTAAACTGGGCGTGGTCAGCTGCTGACTTAATCTTAAGCAATGCAGGCACTTTTATTATCTGCCTGTTTAATCCTAACTTTGTAGCTCTTCTAGTTTAGGAGATCTTAGCTTTTATACGGACAAACGGACAGAAACGGACGTAAACTACCTTTTACAAACACATCGACGATGTCAGCTGCTGACGTAATCTTAACCAATGCAGGCAACTTTAGTTATTCCATGAATAATCCTAACTTTCTAACTCTTCTAGTTTAGAAGATTTTAGATTTCATACGGGCAAACGGACAAAGATAAGGACATGTCATGACGGAAACGCTTTCTGCTTCCTTATAAAAACTCATCGACGATGTCAGCTGCTGACATAATCTTCATCTACGCAGGCATTTCTGGTCTCTGCCTGTTTAATCGTAACTTTCTAACTAGTTTTTAGTTTAGCAGATCTTATCTTTCATACGGACAAACGGAATGACTCACGGACATGGCTTATAAATATAATTTATAGGTCCGGCAACGCTTTCTACTACCATTTACAAACTCATCGACGAATATATAACTAGAATTTTATGCCCATTTTTAGAAGCTGGCTTTTCCGGCATTCCCTGGCATTCACAGTTTCAGAAAATTCAACTTACAAAATATGCAAGCCACTGGGGGTCGGAAAATGCCCATACATATAGGTATGTATATATGCAAGTGATGATTTGACACAATGCCAGGAGAGATGGGGTGGTATACCAATGAAGCTGCATGAACTGCAACCACGACGAGGTGAAGGAGTGTATCAGAAAGTTGCAACACTTTATGGCCCATAAATATTTATGCCTCTTGTTGCTGTTGTGGCTGCAAGGCAAGGAACAGGGCAGGACACAGACAAGGAGTGTATCAGATGGTGAAGCCAAAGTCGATGTAGCCAAATATTTTGGCAACAAAATGCAGGCGCAGACATACAGGGGAGTATAGAGAGAGAGAGACAGCAGCGTTGACAGGCAATGTTAACGGGCGACTTGGAGCTTGGAATTGGTGCTCTGGACTGGAGACCATAGGATGCCATGGCTGTCAACAGAAATTCCCATGATTTTGAGCTAACCAGGTAAGTGGCCTTACCATACACCTCTCTTTCTCTCTCTCTGTTGATTCCCGGAAAATCTGTCACTTGATGCTCAGCAAGCGGCTCATGTTGTCTAACGGACGGAATGGCATGTGGAAGACACCGCGCCGCTTTTCCGGTCTAGAGCACATCTCTTTGATCGCATCCCTGGCAACCACCAGGTTGTGTTCACTCGATTTTTAATAAAGTAACAAGTGTTAGAATGAGCGTACTCACCCCGAGTTCCACGTAGATGGTATAGATGGGGTAGGGCAGGGCAATCACCATTCCGGTCAACCAGGTGGCACAGCAGCAAACGAATCCCGGTAGTCGACCTTTTAGGGGATCGTTTAGCCAACGCATCCGATCCCAGGCGATGAGAATGTGCGAGATCATGGCCACATGCAGGGGTATGTCCTAGCAAAAAGTTGATATTAGTATGAAAAATTTAAATAAAATTGATATTTCTATCGATTTTTGATTTAACTAGTAAACTTGATACCTTAAATCCAAAGTAAACCCCAAGTCTACTCAAGGTTTGATTTTGGAATGCCTTCAGTTTCATTTTTATTTTCATATCTTTCACATCTTTCACATCTTTCATATTCATATATAAATTAGTCATTTAAAAAAAAAATATAATAATATAAAGAAATATCTTTAATTATTCCTCATCGGTTATCGATTCCGATTCTGTCTCGCTTTCCATTATCCAATCAGAGTCAGCATCACCTTCCCCATCCTCTTCTTCTGATACTTCCTCTTCACACTCATCGTCAGTCAAGTCAAAATCATCGTGATGCGAGTTATCTAGAAAGTCAAAATTGGGTATGTCTGCATCTTGATGCACAGCCGCCAGTTGCATTCCCTGAAGACCAACTGATATAGTTCCATCGCTGGAATCTGTCCAATTGGTCATGGCGTTCTCCTTTCCTGTATGGACATCTTGCGGTGGACTTGGCAGCCCAACTGTGATCGCACTATCACTAGAATCTGTCCAATCGGTCATGGCATCCTCCTTTCCTGTACGGACAAATTGAGATGCTCTTGGTAGGACTGCTAGATTGGTATTATCATCAGAACCTGGCGAAAAGGTTATGAAATCTTCAGCACCTTGAAATGGTATTGGTACCACTGCTGGCTTGTCCGAAGAATCTGTCCCATCGGTCATGGCGTCCTCCTTTTCTGTGCCGACATCTTGAGGGGCACTTGGAAGCCCTGCTGACATCATGACATCACTAAAATCTGTCCAATCGTCTGACCCATAATTAGAAATTGTATAATAGATTACGCCGTCTTCCTTTCCGGTGCCGACATCTTCGTCTGCGAAATCTGCCCAACTGATAAGGTCTTGGACTTGATAGCCTGGACTGGGTAGCATTTCTGGTATGGATTGCGTATCTAATCCTAGATATTGGAACAAATCAGAACTTTCTAGTTCCTGATCTTGATTCTTATTAGTATCGCTATGTGGCTGTATATTAGAGGAAGCTGCTACCATATTGCATTCTGTGATGTTTTTGGCCTCCGCCTGCAGCTTAGGCTGGTCCTCCTCAAGGCCCAGAACTTCAAAGACGTCCTCGAAGGAAACGGGTCCCTTTACAATTCCCGAATTACCAGGTACTTCGATGTCCCTGAGATGCATGCAAATCGCTTCAATGTCCTGCAAACGCTTCATATCCTTCTTAGAAACTTTTGGATTTTGGACCTGGGCTAATGAGTGAGCGCAAACGCTATCCTTCTGCCAAAAGCCCTCGTGATTTTCAGCGAAAGCTGTTGATGAAATGTTGGCCAGGTTTCCCGATTGTTTGGTGTATTGATAATCGGGGCACACCGATTCCGATTTCGAATCAAAGTTTGCCTGGCCAATTAGAATCTGGTTAGTTGGGAGTTCATCAATCGGATTGTCTTTAATTGGACGATCAACAATCCAGTCGTTAAAAGGAATGTTAAGAGAAGGTTTTGGTTCCTTCTTAAAGGAAGGATCAATCGAAGCGATTGGGTCCTTGCCTTCCTTGTTATCAGCACTATTGTTCACAAGATTCATAGTCGGTGGATAGATTAAGGAGCTTGGCATCTGCGGCTCGGTGACCTTAGTACTTTGGAACATGCTGTTTGGGATAAATGTTGAAGAAGTCTTTTGGAGTGGAATGGAAGTGGTGTTGCCAAGGGTACGATTCCAGCTATATCGCCACTGCTCCAGATAAGTGATATGTGCCAACCTGGGATTGACCGGTAATTGGCTTTCAAACGGTTGTTGGAAATTTGAAAAATGTCTTTTTCTGTTCTCCTTGAATTCCTGAAGCAAGAGATGCCGTGTGCACCGGTAGACACTACCATCCTCCTGTTGTTCTGGGCATTCCATTTTAATTGGCCCATTAAGCACATGAATATCGTCGGACGGATTGGTACAGTCGATGCAACGCTTTCCGTTCTTGAAAGTGTCATGAAAAACAGCAGTGAAAGCCGGCCTAACGTTCAGTTCAGGGTCGGATGGGCTTCTTGTTAGGCTCGGCTTGCCCACCATGCCAGTATTGTTCACCCTGCCCGGAAAAACCTGGGTAAGTACATTTCGGGTAATTCCTACCCTCTTGGCTGCGCCGTACTTTTTGTTAACTCCTTTTAAATTTCTTTCTTTCGGCTGTAAAATATATTTAGATAACTTTGAAGTTTCTTTTATCTATCACTACCACTGCTTGCTTACCATATCTTATTTGCTTAGCAAATGTAATTTTAAAGTTAATAATAAAACAAATTCTTCCCAAGAATTCCGTGCGCATGCGTGAATGTCCGGTAGCCAGGAAAAAGGAAAGCAAGCCGGAAAAGGAAGGTTGACCGGAAATGCAGATGTGTCACGAATATTACAGCTCTGCAGGTAATCGATATAATGTCCGATTAAAGTTACACCTGTTTTTTTTAACGAATTTTCTAATCCTCTCGGTTAATAATTTAAACTTGCAAACAACGGACTGCCAACGTCCAGTGTTGCCAGAAGATAATAACGGCCGGCCAACTCGGCGAAAACAAAATTTCTTAAAGTTAAATGTTAATATGTTAAAAGTTTAAAAGTGAGTAAGTTTAAAAAATTAATAATGAAGATTTGAATATTATTTTTTGCTTAATAAGATTCGGTGGTTTTTAATCCCCATACTGGTAATTAAAATCGTAGTTTGTGGCCAAATTTGTATTTATGGTTTTTCTGCAATGCAATCTGGCAACGCTGTTTTTTTTTCAAATACCAAAGCACAAAAGCGGTATATTAAACGGTAAATTTCTGTTTTGTTTATTTCTTCGTCATATGGAGTAAAATTTAACTAAATAAATATTTTTAGGTCTTTAAGGTGCAGATTTAACGCTACTTGTCAGATTTGTGGCAGCTGAGTGTGTGTGCATCCCCAGCTCCCAGTGCCTGCTCCATCTCATTCTCAGCCACCCATCAATCATTCCATTAAGGCGGGAATGGGATCTGTAGAACGGGATCAGGATTAAGAAGGGGGAAAACGGAAAACGAGGAAAAGGAACAGGAACCGGAGTTCACCCACATACGCTCAAACGTGACTATGCAGTGATAAATGTGTGTTTGTGTGCACCAGCTATTTGTCGCCCTTTGTGATAGCAATCAAATCGAATCATATCCCGTTCCGACAACCGACTCCCGGTCTCACGGAGGGGGCAGGGACCCTCCCGTAATAGAATCTCCTGCAGCGTCAAGGTTGTAAATGTAATCATTTGTCTGCTCTACGGACGGCGGGCCTAATCGAATTGCCAGGCGGTTTGTCCTCGCATCCTGCTCCTGTCCCCTGCTCTGAAAATCCCTATCTTTTTGGCCAAGACGCAGGTCCTCTGGTCCTCGCATTTGTTTTCGCCACACAAAAGAGGCACAAAGTGACAGGCGACTGCGGCGGCGGCGGCAACGGAGACGAATCAAATCGAATGTAAGTATACGATTCTATTTGCTTGTGATTCCTGACTCCCCTCCAAAAAAAAAAAGGAAACCCATTCCCTTCCCGAGTATGTGTCAATCACACGGTGGCTTCCATAATGAGGTGGGATTGGGATATACAAAGATATTGTTAAGGAAGGACACTCAGCAGCAGGCATTGCTATTGCTCAATCGACTGAGACCGGATGCCATCTACTCGCCCAGCACCCCAGCCAAATGGGATAAATATAGAGCACCAGGCTGTATTTAACTGTGATTGCTATGTGGAATATAGTCTGGCTGGGCGAAATCTAATGGACCACCTAAATTGGAAATGGAATTTGCAGAACCATAATAAGTTTGTATTACAAATATACCACAAATTTGTATTTACTTAAGATTTTAACAATATTTTACACATATCCAACTTGCAGGATCGAAAGTCTCCTTTGGCCACTCACCTGCAGCATGGGTAGAAAAAAGCACAAAAACTGGCCAAAAATCCAATTCTGAATGAGCATGACCATCAAGGAGACGGGCAAGACAAGGGCGCATTGGACGAAATGGCACAAGGCCAGATTGATGATGAAAGCATGGGTAACATCCTTGTAGAGTCGATGGTACATGATATACACTACAATGATCACATTTAGGACCACTCCCAGTAATGCAAGGGCTGCATATTGGATAAGAAATAGCCAATAAACCGATTTGATGCTTGACTTCAGGATCGGACCATTAAGACGCTCCATATCCATCGTCTCATTGGAGTGCCATTCGAGGAAATGTGAAAGTGCCTGGACATACTTGTCGTTGACATCCTTTAACTTCTCGCCACCGCCACCGCTTGAGGTATGTCCACCAGACCCACTGCCTCCAGAGATTCCAACTCCACTTCCACCTCCACCAACACCACCTCCGCCAGTGCTCGCCGCCAACTGGTAGGCATCCGATCCTCCGACCAAATGAAACTGCTCAGCTGGCGACATCATTCTCAGCACCTGAAATGAGAAATAAGAGATTGATATTGAGATTGAGTTTGGAAATCGTATTAAGAGTTAAGATTAACTATTGAGACTTGGAGGATTCTTTGTCAGAATTGTTGAATTTTCTAGAAAAGCTATCGAATCTAGTATCGTTCTTACTTTATTTCTCTACTAGGAACGTCAGAGGAATGGTTTTATTTTTCGAATTCGATTTCTGAAATAACTTTCATGCATCATCGAAACACATGGGTTCGGGCGACTCCTCTGCATCTTTTCTCAAAGCTTCCACATGCATACCACTCTTCCTATTCGATTTGCTGCCCTCTTCATTATCAGAACTAAAATCATTGATTGGGCAAATGTTATAAATGGATTTACACTCCATAATTTTGGCAGTGGATTGGGTGGCTTGGATAGATTTGCTGGATTTCCTTGGTTTCTTTGTTTTCCTGATGCCAGTTTCCTGCAATGAGCCAGGCCTTACACTTCTCCCTTGTATAGTAGCACGGATGTAGAGATTTTTCTTTCGACTGATAAAACCCGATCGGCAGCCATGTTTTAAGATTTTTTCGACTTGGCCTGCCTTTGTAAGGGTAATGCCTAGTTCTCGTAACACACTTTTAATAAGCGCAATGGTAAGTGGTTTATCGGCTAATCGAAGGATCTGCAGAATGACGGCCCCTAATTTAATGGGACGGGACATTATGATACTTAAAAATTTAGACTTAAAAAAGTTCTTTAAAATGTTTCTATTTCGGTTTCCAATGACTGTTTCAAACGACTAACAATAACTTTATGAGATCAAAATGAAAGTCCTTCTGAATGTTTTCAAATAGGTAAAGCTGATCAGTAAGTAATTTCCAGTGAAAGTTGATACTTTATTTTGATTTTCTTAGAAAATTTTTGTACTATTCTATAGATGCCATCGTAGTCTCCAAGCTCTTTGGTTAAGTGACACTTTTGCCACCTTCCCTCCTTCAGTCATCCAATTCATTCGGTCACTCATTCATTCATTCATTCATTCGCTCATTTATTCATTCAACGTTTCATTGTTCGTTTCATTGCTTTGTTTTGTTTCTTGTTATTGCGGTTGTTGTAGTTACGTTTAGTTTTTCCAGCTATCCGTTGTTATGTTTTGGTTTTCCTTTGTTTCAGCTTTTGCAGCGGAAATTGCCAAAAGGAAAAGCTTGGGGGGGGGTGGGTTGTAAAGTCTATGGTTAAAAGTGTGTGGAATAGCGGCAAGCGACCAAATGCTGCAGGCTCTAGACAGGCAACACGATATGGAAATTGAAAATCTGTATGCAACGTCTGTCCCGTTTTCGTTTTCGTTTTTGTCCTTCAGCCTGCGGCTAAGGCTTAACTGCTTCACAGTCACAAGTTCTTACAGGTGGAGAAATTAACTAGATTCATTTTCTATATATATACGATATTATGAAGAGGCAGATCTTGATCGATCAAATCAAATTTAAGTAACCCCAAAAGGTCTTAGAGAAAGCAAATTAAGTTCAAATTGAATTGTTTTTAAGTCACCTGTGAGAGGGGGAGAGAAAAGGATCTTTTGTTTTATTTTCCCACTGTGCACTGTGGGCGTTTAACGCCCCTTCTTGACTGAGCTCTGGAATTTCAATCTAGACAGAAGGCAGTCGTCAGGAGCCAAGGAATAGCTGGCGTAGGACACAGGCACAACGAGTGGCACGTAGCCATGTGCACACACACATTCCTATTCACAATCGTTTACGTGTATGTTGACCGTATGGCCACAGTGGCAGCCACAGACAAACATGCCACGCCTGCCGCCCATTGTGGATTCCCCTCCCCTATCCAGTTCCTGTTCCGGGAAATCCCCCCAACCTCCCTCCTGTACTTTCAATTTGAGCAGCAACTTCCGTTCAATTTATTGTTGCTAATTTTTCTTCACTTGGCTGAAAAATATTTTCGTTACTCCGATCAAAAAAAGTAAAAAAAAAAAAGAGGAAGAGGCAGAAAAAAGTTTATAAAAAACAGGGTGCCTGGGGCTTGGGGGAACACAAAAAAAAAAGAAGAAGTAGAGGAAGAAGCGGCCAAATTAAATTGCTTTAAATGAAATGATGATTGAAAAGCTTTATCACCGGATACTTGTTGGGGCGGTCGTGAACGGGGTGGCCCGCTGTTGAGGGCCCACTGTACATACAATCAGCCTTTGGCGTTTCCTCTGCTTGTTTTTCCTTTTGGCTGTTAAAATGTAATTTTCCACGAAATACTTAAAAACCGCATTTAATTTAGAATTTTCGTTTAACCTTGATATTTGAGCTTCGGCTTTTAAGATGAGAAAATAAATATTCAAATTTAAGAAAGTTAAAAATAGCTTAAGGTGGGATTTGGGCTTGGAAGTTGTAGATTATGAGGTAAAAAGATAATAATTAACTTAAATTAGAAAATATTATTGAAAAGTTAAAAGTTTTCACATTCAAACTTAAACAAAGTCTAACAAAGTTGACCGAAACATCGCGATGCATCCTCTACGAACTTTATTTAAGCGCTAAAAGACAGGCAATAATTTATTTCCCACAAAAGTTCTTTTTCTATTGCCTACTTATAGATGCCTATTTAAGATCCTTATTATTAGTCAAAGTAAAGTGCATTAATACGAGCTTAACACTATCTTATATTATTTTTAAAGAAACCCAAGCAAACTAGAACACCCTGTACCCACTGCAGTTGCAATCCTGTCTTGGTTTGATGACCCGTGTGTGCACAACCACAACAAGAACAACAGGAACAGGGAACAGCCCATGGTTGGTGCGCCTAATTTTGTTTGAACATGCCATTTGGCAGATATATACCCCCTGCCTTCTACCGCCTGCCCCCCTGCTCGCTTGCAACTTGCCAACATTAGTAGTTTCTTGCCCTCGAATGGTCTTTATCTATATGCAACTCACATGTGCGGCCCAGTTCAGGGGCCTCCCCCTTTGTTACCACCAGGAGTTGCCACCAGTGTATGGCAGTGTCGAGTCTATTATGGTCCTCTCTCCTTGGAGGGAGGGAGAGAGGGAGGTTAGTTACTCCATTGGGAACACCAATTGCAGGGTTGCCTAGCCGTTGCTGCATTGCTGCAGTGTTTGCTACTCTTTCCACTGGTTTATTTTGCAGTCCCAATGCACTTGTTGCCTCACTGGGTTGTTGGTTTAACCCCCCCCCCCACCTGAACATTTTCCTAAGCCTTATCCCTCTTTCTTTCTGCCAGTGTAGAAGCGTTCAGGGATTAGCATTATCCATTTGTCAATTAGCCGAGCCGAGTCGAGCTGTGTGTGTGCCGCATGCGGCAAGTAATAATTTCATTTCATTTTCCCACGAACTGCTTGGCAGATCGCTTTGCGCATTTGATGTGGCTGTCATGCTCATGACCACGCCCCCTACCACTTCTCCCATCCCTTTTTAGGACTATATCCAGTGCGTTAATTAGCTTAAAATGTTGATAGACAGAGCGCGCATTGCGGCTTGTGGCCAGGACTTTGGCTTTGCGTTATTCGAACATTTCGACATTTGAGTTTGAGCTTCTCTTGCTGTGGTTGCATTGTCGGCAAGTCAAGAAGAAAAGAAAAAAAGTTACATTTGATTTCATCCCAAGCTTCAACCATTCTCAATTGTAGAAGTCAAACCACCCACTCCCAACCCCATCCCACATCGCATTAGTTCAGTCAATAGAGCAAAAGTTTGCCGGGTAACATTGGAAGATGAAGATGCACTGCATCAATCACATTTTCAGCTAAGTTCAGTTCACAGCCATTTACTTGGTCATTAGGCGACAGAGTTGCCAAGTTCTTAGCTTTGGAAAAAAGGGGCGAAAACAGATAGGGATTTTCCCTTTTTCTCTTTTTTGTATCATTATTTTTGTTGCCCCGGCGAACAAGGATGTTGATTTGCTAATTTATCCTCAGCTGGATTTTGGTCTTTAATCTAGAAAATCCCCAATGGTGGTTCTGCACTCGGGTGATTTATCAACTTTAAGTTTTCCAACACAGCGATTAACTATAATTACTTAGTATTTTCTTAAAATAGATTTAGTTTTTGGATAACTTAACATCAGCATCTTCTACTAAAGTTTAGCTTAGGGCTTTAACTTCTTGGCTATCCTTGGCTATTCAGTGAGTTGTTTATAATGCGTACTTGGCTTATTTATATTTATATCAGCTAGTGTTAGTTAATCTCTTTAGCCATTTATGGTTCAGTGACGACCAACATGTGTCCGTCCAAGTAATTAATACTGATTTCCCAACCCCCACCCCCCCTTACGCTTTTGCCCGCTTAACAAGTGACAACCAGAAGCGACAGGCAACAACTTTACTTGGCTGCGTGTGTCTCAAGGTCTGCGTACTTGTCCCGTCTGCTGTCTGCCAGCAAAACAACAACAACAACAAACATAAGAGCCACCCACATACACCAGCCATTACCAGTATAACTCTCTGCCCTGCCCCCAGAGGGGTTGGGTACTCTATTTATCGCTTGTTCAACACCGATTTCGGCGTCGTCTTTCTGAAACTTTCCTAATTAAGCAACGCTAAATTAAATGCCAGGCTCAAGTGCGAGTCTCTCTCTCTCTCTCTCTCTCAAAACATACAAACATACTTATGAAAGTAGTAGTTTTTGGGACAATGACAATTATCCTTTTGTAACCACATAACTGAAATGTGAAGGAAAATCAATCTAGTATATAGATCCCAGCAAGCGGAATGTGTAAAATGTCTGCATTTTGACCAATTTCAATTTTATTAAAGTGCAAAAACCATTCAAAAGGCACCATAGCAGTAGCATCATCTCTGTACGCTGTCTGTACATGTTTGTCATTGCCTTTATTTACATATGAAATATATTCGAGATATATATTTCACTGACCTTGGCCCAGCCATGTAATAACTTCGGATTGCCCGGCCATCCAATTAGTGAGCCACTGGCAAGTGCGAATCAAATGTTTTCGAGGGTAGATTGATAGTGATATACAGGGGTTATATATAATATATATACTATATGTTTGCCATAGAACAAATCATTTTTAATGAAGGTACATGGCATGGTATATAATTGCTCCATGACAGCTTAAAAGTATGCAACAATATATTGCAAATGTAAAATTTAGAACCTAAAGCAGTTTTTTCCTTGTCCTAGACCAACTTTTTAGTCCCACCTCGCCTTCTGCTTGGTTAATTTATTATCTCTATCAAAGTAAAGCCAGGTCAGGTCATACAATTTGCTGGCAAACCAAAAAGCTTAACATGTTAGGGGGATAATAAACATCAA